GTGTTGCGGGGATTAGTTATTTAGCAGTGATGGCATTTGGGAAAAAACTGTCCTTTTGTCTAGTTGTTCTGGTGTGCCCTATAGTGTCGTTTTAGAAGTTGAAACAACTTATGTCCAGGATGTGAGGGATCTGTAAATATTTTTACAGCCCTCTTTTTGACTTGTTATATTTTATTGTATTATATATTATATTATATATTATATAGCTGATATGAGGAACTATACACCAGTTCTTTACTAATTTACACATGGGACAAAGGGCCTAAGTCCCCATTGCTATTTTCTTTGAACTATGCAATAGTCCTTTGAATTATATGATTAATTTGAGGAGATGTTGATCAACTGTTGAGCCTGCTAATTTTCCCTGAGTGTTTATCGGAAGGTGGGGGAGGATATAGAGTCAAAAGTCACAATTTACAGGGATCCCTTTGGGAGAGTATATTTATTTGCTGCATGGTACAAAATTATTCACTGATTCATCACATTAGGCCTGAAACTGGTCTGCTAAGACTCTGTGATATTCTCAGAGTTCAACAATCCAGCATTTTATACAAATTTGACATATAATTTGCCAATTACTGAGAGTAATTACTGAGCAATAATTAGTGAGGATGCGCCTATCTTCCCTTTTATATATTGAAAGGGTAATAGAATTAAATCATTTATAAAGGAACCTAGGTTTTTTTCTTCCTTACCTGTTCCTTCTTCCTTCTATTTTCTCCACAACAACTGTGTTAGGTGGGTTGACCTGAGAAAGAGTAACTGGCCCCAAATCACTCAGACAGCTTTCATATTTAAAGCAGGATTAGAATTCACAGTCTCCTATTTTCTAGTTTGGTGCCTTAACCACTAGACCAAACCTGCCAACATTTATGACTATTCAGGAAATAATTCTCCTCTTCCTACCACTCCTTCAATATATGGGGCACCCAGAATTTTTATGTGCATTTCAACCTTTCTTCTCTTGATATTCTAGTACATTGCACTAAAAAGAAAATTTTCAAACTCAGAGGTTGTGCAATTATTTGAAGACAAAAGGACCCTTAACTACAGATACTTACAGTTCACTAACCAATCTCTTAACACCTTCTAATCTTTGCAGTTTCCAAAGGCTTGTTCTATTTCAATGCTTCTCTATTTCTTTTCCAAAAGTACAACATATTGAATAAATAATATTGAAGCACACAGTATAAATCTCCATAGTCCATTTCATTAATCTATGTGAATTGTTTCAACTCAATGGGCAAATTGCTCATACAATTGTTTATATCAATTACAGCCTGAATGAGTTTAGCTATCAACAAGACATATCTGCAGAATGTTTTCTCTCTGAAATTCCTGTACAGGGATTTCACTCCAAACAATGTAGAACATAGGGTAAAAAAAAATAGATTAATCATTAAGAAGAAACAGCCATTTCATAACTGTTATTTGAAACAAGTTTCATAGCTTAGTAAAATGTATGAGAATGTATCAAAAGATTCCTTTTCATGGGTCAGCAATTATGGTGAATGATGATTTCTTCCCCTTAGAACGTCCTTCAATAGTATAGGTCAGTGTAAATGGAATTTCTCTATTAGGATAAGATTTTGTTTGTTTTGCTTTGTTTAAAGATCTAAAGACTGCAATAAGAGGCATAAAGTCTAGGCAAACAAATCAGGACAGGAAAACTGTAGGAGATAATAAAGCAGGAATTACTGAGGCCCTGTTATCAGTCACTAAAGAGTTGGAAATAAAAGGATACTCCAGCCAAGAAATTGACTGGGAATTAACTCACCAATAAATAACCAAGACCAAAGGGAAGAATGGGCATCAAACAAAATAAGCCAGTTATATATTTTGTAAAAACACATTCATGTCTTGCTTCTACTTAACTCAAAGAAGCATACATAAAAAATATTAAGACATATGCCTGGAATTGAATTCATTGTATTGAATTCAAACCATATTCTGAAATGCATATGTTTAGGGATCGATTTTGGCAATAGCATATCCTGGCAGGCATATCCAGCAAATCAAGTACACTATAGCTGCTTTTGGAATTAATCAACTTACTCTTAACTCATCAACACTAAATATATAAATCACTTAATTTATTTAAGAAGTTTTCCACAACAAACTGTTCCATAAAAACACAAGCACAACTGATATGGCTGTGCAAAACTTTCCAAAAAGGTGCTTTGAGTACATAAATAGGACCTCTTTTTAAACATTAAAGTAGCTGTGCTCTTTTTACAGATTTGTATTACTCCTTCAGAAACCATTCAATCCTGGAAAAAAGAAATGACTGTTTTAACAGTTCAAAAAGATGTTTTATATATACTGATAAATTAAGCACCTCATTTGAAGGTTTATGGCATATATAAATCAAAACTTTGAAACAGATATAAATAAATAAATAAATAAATAAATAAATAAATAAATAAATAAATAAATAAATAAATAAATAAATAAAATGCAATTTTGCTGTAGTGTGTTTGCTAGGCAATGGTTATGAATACAACAATCTATTATTTTATTCAAATAATAAATAAATAATAAATAAATAAATAATTAAATAAGGCTGCAGCATTTGCTGGCTCCAGTTTTCAACAAAATATAGCCTCAGCAAATTAAATATAATTTAATTAGTTAATCACAAAATCATTTTATCAACAAAAATAAAATCCATACTAGAAAGGATCGAACATAGTGATGTTCAAACAAAACAATACTTGATCTTAGATGCCCACTACAAAAATTCCAACCACTCTTAAAATATGTAATATAGCGTATATATCTCAACACGAATACTACGAATGAAAAGGGTACAGGAAAGAGCAGTACCCATATGATCAAAGTCATATGGGTAATGGCTATAAACATTAGGCTTTTTTAGTTTACAAAAAGGCAAATAAAGAAAAACATGAGAGAGACAAATAAAATGATGCATGATATAAAAAAAAATAGGAAAGCAAACATTTTTCTCCCTAAAATGGGCAGTGAGAAGAGATAAAAGAATATACTGATTTATACAAGACACGTTAGCATATAGACTCTGCTACCACAAGAATGGTTGGTGCATCAGACTGCCATTTCAAATTAAATTGATCAGAAAAAATCAACTTCCACTGAATTTGGTATGATGGATTCTATGAGATGAGACAAAACATCTTGTGGAAAGGACCAAACATTGATCCATTACAGAGAGGCATTACTGGAAAGCAAGTTATTGCTTGTCATTATGAGGAAATGAAGTAAAACCAGTGGAGTTTTTCCTCCAATTTACAATCAATTTCTAAAAATATGTACACATTTTTAAACCATCTTATTTCAAAATGTGACTTGGAAATACTGAAGAAAGAAATAATAATAATTATTATTCAAAGGCTTCTTTTACTGAGACATACAAATGAAAATAGCTTCTAAATAATCTGCTGTCTCGGTTTAATTAAAAACTAATTTTCATCTACTATCAGCTAAAGCGTATTAATTAGATTCAATCATTAGAGTTTGGTTATGCCATAATTAATGATCATATGTTTACTGAATTTTATTTACCTCCGTAGAATGACTGTTTAGCTTTACAATTTTTATACTGAAAACCATAAAAAAGATTGATTCTTTATTCTGCAATCTATGGCTCATAATTAGCATGCCTCTACTGTTATATCCTTAAGGTTGAGACTGTTATATCAACAATCAGTAAACGTAATTTAAATTAAATTAAACCAAATTTTAAAAAATGAAGCCAGTGGATGTCCATAAATACATGACACGTGAGCTCCATCTACAGGTCAACAATCCAACTAAAAGCTTTGATAGCTTATTACTTAAAAAGGAAGATTCTAATTTCAAGTTCTAATATTTTTTTCACACTCACAACATTTTAAATGTATATTTTATGAATACCTACAAAATTTGTTTTATGATTGGAAAAACCTATTTTACTGTAGGTCTCTACAACTAAAAAGAAGTGTGCGTGTGTGACAGGAAACAAAATTATGTTTGTCACTTTTTTTTTGAACGTGCAATCCCTTAATTGAGGAGAAAAGATTGGACAACCAAAGATTTGTCCAAGATGGAGTTGAGGAATTCTGCCTTGGGCACTGGTTTGGACCAGAAGATCTTCAAGGTCCCTTCCAATGCTATAATTCTATGACATCACATGTAAAAGGGATACCAAGAGGTGGATTTGAAACAGGATCTTAAAAAGAAATTTATTTTGTAAAGATTAATCAAAATCCAGTCTTTCAATCTAGACTGCAACCAAATCTCCTGGAGAAAAAGCCATTAAGTCTGTTTCTTTGCAGACCAGTGCATAAAAATAAATGGTCAGATATTAATGATTTATTTGGGCATTTTCTTCTATTAGGTAAAAAGCAAATTTCACTGTCTCACTGGAATCCCAATTCTCAACAAACAAGATTCATGTGTAAAGTACTAAATGAGCAATTTTTGTAAATGAACATAAAAATTAGATCAGAATTGCTGTAAAAGCAATTACCACATATGAAGTCTTACTCTAATAATGTATTTAACTTTCAAAATTGTCTTTGATTATTTAACTTTAAAACTTTTGATAGCTACCAGACATTTGACAAAATGTCATCAAAACCTCCCACTGAAGTTCTATTCATACAACTCGCCACATGCTCTGATTTACAGAAATTAACAGAAAATTGAACCAGCTTTTCCAAAGCCATCTCTTGAGAACATGCCATTCACAAGTGTTTTAATTTTATCTTGAAATTGTTTTTTCCATTTCCCATGCCTGACAATTGCTGAGTAGACTGTAATTAACCCATTATAACATAGAACAAGACTATGCTTTATTTTTATGTTCAATATTTATTTAAACATTTTTAAATTTATACTTGGTGACAAAATGGACCTCTTAAAATAATTATGAAAAGCTTAGTTACATCATAACATTTTATTTAAAAAGACAACTATAACATATTTGAAAGTTTCCTTTAGAAACTTACCCTCTCAGTTAATTCAAGGTATGCATTACTCACCTACGGCTACTCTTCTGCTTTGGTTCTCCTTCTGTTATTTTTTTAACAGGTACATCAGTATTTTTCTTTAACTTCTGCATAACTCGTTTTTTCATCTCATTCTTTTCTTCATTATCAAGATCATCATCTTCATCATAATATCCCTCCTCTTCTTCCTGGGCAGGTTGTTAAAACATTCATACATTTTAGTTTATACATCTGAACTGCTCAGTTTCAATCCAAAAAAGATTATTTCTCGTGACCAATGTATTCAAAAAGCATATTTCTAAAAGAGCAAGTTATTTATAGAGATATGAAAGGAGGGATAAAATAATAGGGAGCCCTTTTAAGGGTTTTTTCCTCTCATATAATTAGGTTTGAACCTAAATGAAATATGTTTTTGGCACAATTGATAAAAATGCTCAAGATATTGTGTGCCACTGTCACAAGCGACCTCTAAAAACTATGTCACAGCACAGCTTTCCTGCACACAGGGGTGGATTCTACCGGTTCGAGCGAACAGAAAGCTCCGACTATCTGCTGGAAGTGAACCGGTTCACTCCGACTTTGAAGTAGACCCACCTGCCCGCCCACCCCTACTCACCTATATTTCCTTTTCAGAAGCCCAGCTGATCAGCGTGGCAGAGTGGATTGCCACACGTCAGCTGTTTTTCTTGCCAGCAGTAATGCAAAAAGGTGAGTTTTCTGTAAACTGTGTGCGTGCACGCAGCAAACCAGTTGTTAAACCAGTAGGATCCCACTCCTGCCTGCACATGTATTATGCTGTGGGCAAGTAGCAATTGCAACACTCTCAACTCCAAAAGATGCATTTCTGTGTCCAAAGAGGTATCATTTCCAAAAGAAATTACATTTCTTTGCTTGTGGGTCCTCAAACGGCAAGGAAGTCAAGTGAATTTGCTTGTTGAGAGCCCTACAGAAGCTAAAATAAAGTATTTTATATTTTTTACTAGAAGTTAAAAAATCTAAATTTTATTTATATCCTTAAATACTTATCACCTCTTTAAAGTATACATGAATTTACCCACCAGGGACATTTTAAAGTTTAATACCAAACATTATTCAGTGCAAAAACAAAGTGATGTAAATATATTTTATTTCCAAATGTAAAATCAAAACATCTTTGTTGGCAACTTGAAATTCCTGGTCCTGGAAAGCCTCTAGTCTCAAACTGTAATGCTTTGTGGGAATGATGTCACATGGGAGGGGAGGGGGAAGTGGTGCTGCCTAGGGAATGATCAGATAAGATGGCATAGCCTACAGCTGCACAACTATTGAGAAAGTAAGTCACAAAGGAACTTCCCCAATTTATAAGGCTGTAAAAGAGATGGTGGGAGATTAGTATTATCAGACTTGCAAGATTCTGTTAATATAGGTTTACAATAAAGTAGAATTAGTTCAGCTGGTCCTGTTTCCTGTCTATCTATCTTGGAAAGCTGATATCAATCTTGCATTCCATGACAGGAAATGAAATGGGTCACCTTAGAGGACTACTACTACCAGAGTGATACTAAAACATTTACACAAGATAGTTCAGCTATATAATCCAAAGATGGTTGGTTAGAACCTAGGATCAATGATGGATGGCAAGAATAAATATACCCTTTACATTCTATCAGCTTTCATCCTGAGCTAAAAAATCAACAGAATATTCCTCCATCAAGTGTTTATACTTATGGAGTCAAAGAAATTACGTGGTTGACATAACCTGCTTGGTTGAATTATCAAAGCTAGGTCTCATGTCACAACATTGGCATAGTTATCAAAATCTGGGCTTTTCTGCCCTCAGAAAACAGCTTTCTCAATTTGCAACTCCTTTCCCTACAATCTGCATTTGAGTGTCCCCCAACTAGGAGACAGAATGGCTCTTTTACAAGAAAGAGTTATATTACTGGCTCTAAATGGGTAATGATGGCCCACCCAGAGGTCATTCATCCTTTGACCCAGTTAGTTTGGAGAACTATTTCCCTTATCTGATCTTTTTGGGGAAAAGGTTGTTGAGAAAGTCAATTACAAAATATCTTGGATAAAGATTATCTCAGTGCAAATCAGTGAGGAACTAGATAAGATTAAACAGATTGAGGATGTAACCCAGTGCTGGGAACCAGGAACCAGTGCCTCTAGGCTATGAAGAACTGGATGCCACAGACTTGGAATGAATCTGAACAAGAGGTACTGCTGTGCAAAATCCTTCTAATTCCAAATCCAGGAGGCTTCTGGGTACAATTCAAGGTGACAATTTATATTTATTTATAAAGCTCCTTAAACTTAGGTTTTCATTACCTTGGAGACTACTATATTTGTTCCATACAGAATCTAATTAACTAACTAGTGCACGCTGTGGAGAAGGACATGATACAGAAACATTTCTGCATTCAAGATATGAAGAACACGGGTGCCTATGAACAAGCCTTCTCTGTTGAATATCTTTGGAACAACTTGCCTCCAAAATCAGACCACCTCTGTATGGTCATTTCAAAAGAGCATTTAGATGGTGCTATTCCAAAAACCTTTCAACACAAATGTCAATGGTCATGACAACTGCTAGTTGGGCCTAGGATTGAAAAGATGGACTGTATCTGTATACATACAACATTGTATGTTTTGTTGTTTATTCACAAAAAGCTACCTCATATCTAAGATGTACTGGCAGCATACAAATCTCTGAAATTATAACTGAACTAATGAGGTAAGAAAGATTTCCTTACCCTACTTAGTTTACTGAAACCTTTTTGTTAACAGGACTATTAAATACTGCCAATGTTTCAGCAGCAGCTGAGACAGTAACCAGATGTGTAGTGGTAACAGACATTAGCCCCATGAATATTATAGCGAATGTAAAGGTCTTACCTTATCTGAATTATCACTTTCATTTGCTTTTTCACTGAAAGAAAATGCAGCATGTAAGTAATTGTTTCATAACGCAAGTTCTGAAATAAAATTAATCTAAATGAATTTTTCGGATTTAGATAGAAGATTTTATTTGGTGTACCCTTTAGCCCAACTAATGAATATTTTTCCAGCAGAAACAAAGGCAATCTGATTACTATTTTATAAGTATCATATATGTTTAAAGGAGCTCTCTTAGCTCAAGAGTTAGGATCAAAGCTGCATGATATCCTCAAGAAATGTTTGGCAAATAGGAAAATGCCTAATAATGTATGGCAGTCCTTCCTAACTATAACCCTAGCTCTCCCTAAGTGTAGAGAAATTCAAACATGGCTAGTGGCCATGCTAGCTGGGAATTCTGAAAGCTGCAATACTAAAATATGTGAAAAAAGGTTGATTTGCAATGCAGTAACAAATAGGGCAAATTTCACATATTTCACATATTCTATTGTCCCAATAGAAATTCTACACTTCTTGACTAAGATAATTATTTTTGAATTAATTACAGTTGGGTTGACACAAAGAAGAGGGAGTCAAACTATTCTCCAAGGCACCTGAGGGTAGAACAAGGAGCAATGGATGGAAACTAAACAAGAAGAGAAGCAACTTAGAACTGAGGAGAAATTTCCTGACCGTTAGAACAATTAATCAGTGGAACAGCTTGCCTCCAGAAGTTGTGAATGCCCCAATGCTGGAAGTCTTTAAGATGATGTTGGATAGCCATTTTTCTGAAATGGTATAGGGTTTCCTGCCTAGGCAGGGGGTTGGACTAGAAGACCTCCAAGGTCCCTTCCAACTCTGCTATTGTATTGTATTGTATAGTTTATTTACCTGTCAATGGCAGGAACAGAACTCAGGTGTGGATCATCTTTCAGTAAATCATGACTACTTTTGCTTTTTCCTTTCATGCTCTAAATTTTTTAAAAAAGAATGGAATGATGGGTTTATGAATTCACTTTTGTAAATTTCTCTTTGAAAACAGAGCATTGCTACTCATACAAAGACATTAAACAACATCCTAACTATTAAACTAATTAAAATTACATTGCTATATGTAATGTGTTGATTGCAGATGCTCATTCAACTAAAACTATGAAGATCTGCTACCTATATTTGTTACAAATAAGAAATGGGTTTATTCTGCAGGAAGATCTAACCTTGGTGTTTTTTCTATTATCAAAATGGCCATTTGACTTTGAAACTGGATTTTAGAGAAACAGGAAAAATCAAAAAGCCTTTATCCTATATTGCACATAGATATATTGAGAATTTTAAATAACAAAAATAACCTTCAGGATACCAGGGGCTAGATTATTTTGGGCTCATAATTGTAACCAGGACTTTCAATTTCTTTATTTACTTTCAATTGTGTATTGAAAGTAAGCAGAAACCAGTTATTTTATCTCTCCTGGCAACAGTAGCACAAAAATTTCTCGGAACAATGCTAAGTCCAAGAAGAAACGTAAGCTCTGGTAAGACATTAAGGGAGGGCAAATGCATTTAATACAAATAACACAAATCTCACTAAAACCTTCTCATCTTTTTACTTTTGGCTGAAGATGTATGTCTGCAAACTTTCAGAGAAATTATTGCTATTAAGCACAATTTCCTATGTTTTACTGCAAGAATGATTTAGATCTGTATGATTTCTACTAGTAAGACTTGCTAGTATACCATCAAGATATATTATTTCTTTTATTTATCATTATTTTACCTAAATCCATAGTCTGGGGCCTCAGTTTATATTCAGTTTATTAATATAACTCTGCAATAAGCAAATCTGGACAAATCTGGATAATTTCACAATGCTGAAAATTAAAGAGATTCACAGAAATATATAGGTAGTTAGCTTGAAATTATACCTGACTAACTCTGTTGACTTCTACTTCTTCCTCCTCAGCTTCTTCTCCAAATGAAAGCAGGCTAAAATTTCTTCAAATAGAAAAAAGAGGCACCTTCATTGAACAGTAGAACACATAAAAACCCAGAATTCTTTTGAACATTATTGCCACTTCAAAAGTCTACAGAATTAAATTTTCCTATTGAAATCTCATATAAACCTAGCCAACCTCTGCAATAGGTTGCCTTCTTGCTGCACTTTGTCAAGTATCCTTAAAATCTTTCTTAGAACACAGTTTGAGAATGCATAAGACACTACAGCATGACGTACTGTCAGGCCCGGAAGCCGTTTTTTGCATTGGGCCTTTAGGCCTGCCACATTCAATTCTGTGGGAAAATGGGAGGGGTGATTTTATGGAATATGGGAGATATATAGTCATGAAAACATTCCTTTCTCAGAGAGCAAGGACATCTTGTCCTGCACCTGGAGGGGTATAACTGGGAGGCATCTCCAATTGGGACGGTTCCTGATTGGCTATGTGACGGACATGTGGTGCTGGGCAGGGGCTTGGATTTTCATTTGGCTTTTCATATTCAGATTTTCCCAGTTGCGCCAATATGACATCTCTAATAAAATGAAACTTTGAAGAACTTCAAGCCCCGGAGTCTTCTTTCGTTGTTACTTAGGATCCTGACACTTACCTTATCAGGGTGCAATGTTCCACTCAAGAAAGCTTACAACTGGATCCTGTTCCTTATCTTTTGCACAACTATTTGTATATAATTCAGTGTCAAGGCATGAATCAAATCCTAATATGTATGTAGAAAAATATAACTGTTTTCCAAAAATAAATAAATATGCTATTTTTACTTTGTGCCCTTTGATTTTGCCTTCTCAACTTCTTCCACTGGTTTCTCATTCTTCAGCTTTTTAGTCGTCCTTGGAATTATATCATCAAAAGGATTAAATAAAACCTAAAACAAACATGTTTCGTTAATCTTTTAAGACCTTCTATTGTGAAAAATATTATTTCATAAGCACCTAAACACTGCAATCTAGAAATGCTGATGAGGCATAACTAGGCTTATTGAACAGCTTAGTTGAAGTTTGTATTCTTTAGGTAACAGCCTTATATAACAATGGCCAAAATAGTTATATGCCAGTTTTTATTGGAAATCAATCAAACAAATGTTTGAACTATCCAGCTGTTAAAAAATACGAAAACTTAATAATCTTATCCCAGTGGTTAAGAAATATGAAAACTTAACAGAATAGTTCCATGACCTAAATGGTGATATGTTCTTCACACAGGTCCTGAAACTAGATAAAGAGAACCAATTAAACAAATGACCCAAAATCATTATACCTATTAATATATTTATTGAGGAAAATGTATCATAGCTACAAATTTGTATGTGCCAAAATATATGAACCTTTGGATTCAGTAACTACTGTATTTTTCAGAGTATAAGACACACCTTTTTCCCTCAAAAAAGAGGGTGAAAATCCGGGTGCATCTTATACACTGAATACAGCATGTTTGCCTACTGACCCCCCCCCCCCGTTTGCAAAAATGGACATGCAGAAGGTTTGGGAGGCTTGCAAAGTGGGCCGTTTTTGCTCATTTTTGCCCCTGCAGCCCCCAGGAGCACTCTAAGTGCCACCAAAAGCTCTGCATGCCTCCCCTTTTTTTGCAAAAAAATGGGCTGTTTTTTGCTTGTTTTGGGGGGGCAGCCCCCAGGAGCACTCTACAAGCTTCCCAAATCTCTGCATGCCCTATAATTTTGAAAGAAATGAGGTGTGCAAAAGGTTTGGGAGTCCTGCAGAGTGAAAAAACTTGTTTTTTAAAAAATTACCTCTTCAAAATCATAGTGCGTCTTATACTCTGGTGCGTCTTATAGTCCGAAAAATACAGTAGTGTGATCTTCTTGAGATCACAGAAATAATTCCAACTAAAGGTTTCCTACAATCTTGGCTTGGAGGACTCTTAGTTCATTCCTCCCTATAGAAGAGATTCAATTTTGGGATGTTGGTGAGCTTCTGTGCATGAAACATCTACCTCAGATCCTTCCACATTTCTATAGGATTATAGCAGATTTTGGACATTCCAAAACAGTTTTTTCTACTTTAATCATTCTTTGTGTATAAAACTTGTGTGTTTTGGATAACTGTCTTGCTGTATGATCCCCTTCTCTTGATTTTCAAGTTTTCACAGACATAGTTTACCCTGAATTTGCTGACATAATTCAGAATGTATAGTTCTATCAATGATGGCAAGCATTCCTGATCCTAATAGCAAAGCAGGACCAAACCAAGATCCTAACACCATGTTTCACAGCTGGGATAAGATTATTATGCTGGAATGCAGTGTTTGTTTTTCAACAAACATAAAGCTTTTCATTCAAACTACAAGTCTACTTTGGTCTTATCTGTCCACAGAATATTGTTTCAACAGCCTTCGACTTATCTAGGTGATGTTTTGCAAACTGCAAAACTGCCAGGATTGTTGTTGTTCAGTGTTCTTCCGATGGTAGTTTCTTAAACACAGACATTCACCAATGCAAGACAGGCCTTTAAATCCTTAGACATTACACTGGGCTCCTTTGAGACCTCATGGAGTATAACAAACCTTGTTCTTGACTGAGCTCCTGGAAAGGGTAACAATGCCATTGATTGCCTCTATTTGCACATGATCTGCCTGATATTGGACTAGTGAAGTCCATACTCTTTGGAAATATGTTTTCCCAGCCTGGTGAACATCAACAATTTGGTTTTCAGACATTTTCAGAAATCTTGTTTAAGCCATGACATACTTCTACATACCTATGTTGTGAAGATCACATTTTGATAGTGAATACCCAGAAGTCTGTTCTTTTAATAAGGCAGAATGTCCCCACTCAAACCTGATTATTAGCCCATTGATCAAAACACTCTAATTGTCATATAATTCTAATTTTCATGTGAATTGATAATTTGGATCATTTTCCTCAATAAATCACAGAACAAATATGTTTTAGACTCATTTCCTTAATTGCATTCTCATTATCTAGTTTTAGAGCTTATATAAATAACAGGTGACACCTTTTAAGATCATACTTATGCAGAAATATTGGAAATATTGAAAATTCACAAATCTTTTTTCATGTACATGACTGAACATGAAACTTCATGAGATCTTCTAGAACAGCGGTTCTCAACCTGTGGGTCGTGACCCCTTTGGGGTCGAACGACCTTTTCACAGGGGTCGCCTAAGACCATCGGAACTCTTAAATCTTTAGACTCTAAAGCGTGCTGTGTCGCACTCTCTCATACACGCACACGCGCGCACCCACAAATACACACACAAGCGCACATGCAGGGAAGTAGGAGGAGAAACGCAAATGTAAAAAAAAAATAGGGAGTCTATATGTGTGGGGAAGGGGTAGAAATCTCAGTTGCACTTCTGGCCATTTTAAAAAGTTTGGAATGAGGTCAGATTTGGAGCTTCTCATTGCACATGGTTATTGGGTTCCAAGCCAATCAGAGCCAAGGAGCAGGGTTTTGGAATGACAGAGCGTTGGATACAGTCTATGGTTGGCTTAGAAAAGAGCTGAGGAAGGATAAAGCCGCACGAGGTGGAATTGAGCGCTGCTCTAAGCTGCAGCAAGAGAAAGTGTGTGTAGTGGGGCGGGGGAAGAAGCCAAGTCTGTAGTCCCGGTTTGTACATGTCTCTTTCCTTTTTGGGGAGCTGTGCATCTACAGGCGAGCATGATGGGACTCCATACATTTATTGGGAAGACACCCGGTTATTAATGCTATTTGGTTGCACGAGCGGAGCTTTTTACCCTCAGCTAACTCCCTGGCAGCCACTGAACAATCACAGAAAAAACTCTTGATCTCTGTAATTATGAGTTCTTTGGACGAAGATGTTTTTTCAATTATTATTACCAGTTTTGCTTGGCGACGTGGGCATTTTCATTTTTTAGTGGGTTATAATTACATATTGTTTTTGTGATTAATCACTATGCTTTAATTATGTTCAATTTATAACAATAAAAATACATCCTGCATATCAGATATTTACATTACGATTCATAACAGTAGCAAAATTACATTATAGAGTAGCAACAAAAATAATTTTATGGTTGGGGGTCACCACAACATGAGGAACTGTATTAAAGGGTCGTGGCATTAGGAAGTTTGAGAACCGCTGTTCTAGAATTTGATATAATTTATATGTAATTAATCTTCAGTTCTGAAGCTATAATTTGAAGCCCTTGGGCAAGCAATTGGGATCAAATATACAAAATCCAGGCAAACCATGTGTTTAATTCATGATTTTTTCTTGTTTTAAGAAAAATAATAATCTAAAATAAACACCTATGGATATCTCCTAGAATTGCCTTGATTATGTGTAAGCAAGTACACATGGTTTTCAGACATTCTCAGAAATCTTGTTTGTTTAAGCCATGACATTAATAGCTGCTAACTTTTATTAACTACAGGTAGTCCTTATTTAATGACTGCCTTTTTAGTGACTATTCAGTTATGACAGTGATGAAAAAGTAACTTTACAACCTATCCCTGGATTGATGACCTTTATAGGCCTATAAAGCAAAGGAGCGTTAAAGTAAGATTATAAGCACAATCAGTTTCACTTAGCACTACCACTTTAACTAAGCTGCTGGTCCCAATTGCGACAGCTAAATAAGAACTGTGCAATACATTAGAAAGATACGTCAAGATCACCACTTGGTCCAAAAATCGTAACATATTCATGGTATACAAGTTGAGTATTTAATTATTTCTAATATTGAAGTTAAGTGCAGGAAAATATCTCATTTCATTTTAATAGCATTGAGACAAGAGAAATATATATTTACATCAATTACAAATAATCTTATTCCTACCTCTGTACTTGTTATTTTATATGGATTGACTGGTCTTTCGTCCGGGCCAATTTCAACTTCTGAAAGTCGCAACATATTATATACAGTATCTCCAGTGATCTGCCAAATTAGAAGGACTGTTTTAAAAGCTACCTTTTCACAAATTATTTTCAAAACACGTTTTAATTTAAAAATCTCAATTTATCTATTTATTACTATTTTTACATTGGCACATTCCAAACAACTTCTGATTTCAATAGTAACAGACCCATAAAACATAAGAATTAAAAAATATCAAATTAACAGCAATTCCTCCCCCAACTTCTCAGAAAGGAGCATGGACAACTTCCCAGATCATTCCTTAGAAAAAGCTAGAAGGGGCATGGATTCAGCCCCTAAATAGTGTAATTTTTACTGAAGGGCATTTTCCTGGCATCAACAAACTGCAGATTCATTTTTAAAAGCTACTTTTTCACAAATTATTTTCAAAACACATGTTACCATATTTTTCGGACTATAATACACTCCGGACTATAAGACGCACCTAGCTTTTGGCGTGGAGGGGAAACAAGGGGAAAAAAACTACCTTTGCCTCCCAGCAATTTGCCTTCTTGCAGCAAACAGCAATCAGCCTGGTTAGCTTCAGCATAGTCTGATTTAGCACTAGCAGCTGATTGGAATTGGATCTGCCTCCTGGAATACCGCCTATCAGCTGTTCCAGGCTGCAGGATCGCCAACGCCTATTGCCGCTGCTATCACTGCCTCCGTGCACCCCATTTTCAGCCTCCTAGTGTCCCATTTTTGGCCCGTTTTAGATAGCAGGGACAGGCGGCAGCAAACACCACTGCCTGGAACGGGCTGAAAATGGGGTGCGCGGCTGCCAAAAATGGGACTGGCGGGTGGACAGGGCTTCGACAACATTCACTGTATAAGACACACAGACATTTTCACCCACTTTTGGGGGTGGGGGAGTGAGTCTTATACACTGAAAAATACAGTAATTTAAAAAAATCAATTTATGCATTTATTACTATTTTTATATTGGCACATTCCAAACAACTTTGGATTACAATATTAACAAACCCATAAAACATAGAATTAAATTATCAAATTAATAGCTCCTCCCTCCCACTTCTCAGAAAGGAACATGGGACAATCTCCCAGTTCATTCCTTAGAAGAAGCTAGAAGGGGCATGGATTTAGTCCCTTTAGTCAATTTCCTGGGCATCGACAAGCTGCAGTGAATCCCAACTAATGGTTTAAGATATTTAAGAGCCAAGGTGGCGCAGTGGTTAAATGCAGCACTGCAGGCTACTGCTAGATCAGCAGGTCAGCGGTTCAAATCTCACCGGCTCAGG